GTCCCCTCTCTCCCCTGGCTCATCCGGGACCCCTCCCTCCTTCCCCTGGCTCACCTCTGCAAGGGTGAGTCCTTCCTCCTGCTCCAATTTCTCCGCTAGGGCCAGGAGGTCCAGCTGTGGTTCTGAGGAAAGCAATTCTGCCAGGAATCGGGGGTGGATGACTGCCTCCACCTGGAACAGAAGACAGAGGCTGTGGGCATGCTTGGCAGGGAGCCACCTGTGAGCCAGGAGGAACTGCAGGAAACGTGGAAAAGTGAAAACCCACCCATCCCTCTCCAAAAGGTAGGTTTTAACATCACAGTCACTGGCTACACACACACACACACACACACACACGTGCAGACACACATTCACACATATGCGTACACAGAGAGACAAAACCTGGACATACATACATATGCACACACACCAAACACATATGTGCAGAAAGACATACAGGCATATACAAATGGGTGCACACGCACACATGCACGCGCAGTCATACATGCACATGTTTGTGTACAAACGACACAATGTGTACACACGCAGGCACACACACACGCACACATACGCTGCAAACACATATGTGCACACACAGACACAAAGGCACATACAGATACGCACACACACACACCCATGAACATACACAAAAGGCCACAACAGACACACACACACACACACACGCACACACAGGCACATGCGGACACACACACACACACGCCAGGATGCACACATGTCTGCAACATCAGGCACACACACACACACGCAGGTACACACAGGATCATGTGCATGCACGCACGCACATGCACACACAGACACGTATGTGCACACACAAACACAAAAAGGCACATTTACACACAGACACAAACACACACGTGCATATGTAGACACACATGCATGTACAGACACACCACAAACACGTATGTGCACAAACCCGCAGTAAGACAGGCACACAGACGCATGCACGGGGACACACGTGCACACACACAGGAATGTGCACACACCACACGTGCACACACAGACACACACATGTATACACACATGTACACATTCACACAGGCCCACAGAGAGTCACACAAAAGACACACACACACAAGCGTGCACACATGCACACACACACAGCTCAGGCGCAAGGAACAGAGCTTAATGCCAAAGGCCCGGGCGCAGCCCCGACCGGAGCGCTGGAGTGCCAGTCCCTGGAATCTCGTAACGATTTTATTTATTTATTTACTTGAGAGAGAGAATGAGGGAGAGAGAGAGCACGAGAGGGGGGAGGGTCAGAGGGAGAAGCAGGCTCCCCGCCGAGCAGGGAGCCCGACGCGGGACTCGATCCCGGGACTCCAGGACCATGACCTGAGCTGAAGGCAGTCGCTCAACCAACTGAGCCACCCAGGCGCCCTCCCTGGAACCTTCTAGACACTAGGCCAGCTCACCTTGGTGATGAAGTCTTCCTGGGAACACAGCCTGTCAATGTAGCTCAGGAGACCCGGGTCCGGGTAGGTCGTGGCCTCATCCGGCTGTGGCTCCTTTCCGTCCTCTCCCCATTCACCTGCCGGCCCCCCCGGGGCTGAGTGGCCAGGCCCCAGCAGCCCCTCCATGATGTCCACGTACTCTCTCACGGCCTCAGGGGGGATCTCCTTGGGCGCCTTGTTCTCCAGGGGCCGTGGGGGTCTGTGCGGCCGCAGGCGGGAGGGCTGGGCCCTGGACCCCGCCTTCCTGCGAATGCACGCTGGGGCAGAGCGGGAGGAGGGAGGGGGCGTGAGGGGCTCCAGCAGTGCATCGGGACGGCAGTGTTTGGGGGACGCTGATGTCGGTGGGGGATGGGTCACGGCCACCCGAGGCCACAGGCACCGCGGGACAGGCAGAGGGGAGAGGAGGAGAGTCTCAGAGCGATATGCGTGAGCAAGTGTGGACCCACCAACCCTCCAAGGGTCTCCCCACAGCCCACTTCCCAGGCAGACTTTGTGTTGGGTCCCCTGCCAGGAGGGGGGAGAGGAGTGAAGAAATTCACCCAGTCAACCCCTGTCCTGGCAAAGGGCAGCTGAGGCCGCGGGCTCTTGGTGGCTGCTCTGGTCAAAAGACCAATGTCCCCTTGAAGGAGGAGACGCATATGGGGACAGTGGCCTTCCCTCAGCCCCCACTGCCATGGGCCACCAGCTGCCATGGGAACGTGGGGGCCGTACCTGGCTGTGGGCCCGCTTCTGGGGCTGGGGGCGCCCGCGGCTCAGGCTTCGGCAGGGCTGGAGGAGGCAGGCCCTGGGCCACCTTCACCCACTGCAACTTCTGAATCTGCATCTCCTCCTCCAGCTCAAACTCCATGAACCTGGGGGTGAGGAGGCCCGGGCCGCACTGAGGAGGGGACCCGGCCCTGGAGCCCGCAAAGCCAGCAGCCGGTTGAGGAACCGGGAGAGGCAGTGCCTTGGAGGGGCGGCTGTGGCCGCGGCCAGCAAGGAGGCAGCCGGCTGGCTGTCCAGCACACCCCCTCCACAGCCCCCTCGGAGGGAGTCCCACCCCAGGGGAGGGGGGGTGTCTCAGGATCCCCCAGCCCTTCCCAAGACCTTCCCATGGAGGCAGGGGTGGGTCCCGCTCAGGGGAGGGTGGAACTCCCAGGGAGGTAGGCGAGGGCAGCCCTCTGTGATGAGCATCAGCACAGTCAGACCTTGCCCTCGGCCCGGCCGTCACACCCACCAGCCCCGGGCCAGGGACCCCGACTCACTTCCCTGCCATCTCGTAGTAGATGGCGCGGTCGAAGTTGCTTCTGCGCTGCCACTCCTGCACGGCCCGCCACACTCCCTCCTCCAGCGTCATGGTGGGCTTCAGGCGGGCCAGGGACCGCAGCACCGGGCTGCAAGCCCTCGGGGTCAGGGGCTGGCTGCAGGCCGTCACCCCCAGCCTCCCCCGCCCCCAGCATGACCGCGTGCTGGCAGGTGACTGCCCGCAACGAGCCCAGGCCTCTGCAGGAAGCGCCGTCACCCCGTGTTCAGGAGGGACCCCAGATGGCACGGCCAGGCCTGCCGGGTCACAGCTCAGCAGGCGGGATCCCACGCCCTCCACGCTCCACCAGCTCTGCCCCCTCCCCTTCTGACTGGAATCCTCCGGGACAACGAGCATGGGGCTGCACGCAGCCTCTGCTGGGCCCCGCAGGTCCCGAGCCTCCTCTGATGTGCCGGCCCCTGGCCCTGAGACGCCCCGGCCTGTGTTCCCAGGAGACACGATGACAGAGAGCCTGGCACCCAGACAACGGCTCCTCCTCGGACACCGGGACCCTCTCTGCCTGTGAGTGCCCCCCGAACGCCACCGTGATGCCTCTGGAAGGTCAAGGTTGGCTGGACTCCCCGACGGTCGGGGTTCCGCCGAGGTGGGCGACTGAACGTTGTCCTGGCCCAGAATGCGTCTTCCCAGAGCAGGGACCCGGCCCCACACCTTCCTCCCAGCGCCCCTGGATCACCGCCCTGTGTGCGCACCCCAAGGTCGTCCTGCCTGACAGCTGCAGGAGAGCAGAGGACACTCACATGAGGAAGCAGGAGAGAGCTTCTGCATCGGGGCTCTGCGGGAGGTGCCTCCGGGCCAGCGACTTGAAGCGCTGCCAGCGCCTGAAGTTCTCGTAAACACTCTTGGGGTTACGGGAGTCCTCGGGCGAGGCCTTGGTCGGGCTCCTGGCCAGGCTGCCCTCCCTGGAAGCTCCGTGAGGCTGTGGCCCCGCGTTCGTTGGGGACACGGTGGAGGTCGGCTGGGCAGCCGGGGGCGGGGCTGGGGCTGGAAGGCCTGGGGCCAAGCCTCCCTTGCCAGCCTGGGGGCCCCCAAAGGCCGAGGCAGGCATGCTGGTCTCCAGCACAGGGGCTGCCACGAAGAGGGGTGCGGGACATGCGGCACCCCCACAGAGGGCTCCTGGAGCACTCCAGCTGAGGGGGGCCTGAGTAAGGACGATGGTCTGAGTCTGGGGTGTCTCTGAGGACCCCCATTCCGACCTGACCTGGACAATGACATTGTGGGTCCCGGTCCCACTGGGGCCAAGGCCAGGCTCTCCTACCGCCAACGGTGAGCTGGGGAGGGCTGGCAGCACCAGGGGGCCACCGGGAGGGAATGGCGGGGTCGGGCGGGGCGGCGGGTGCTGCCCCCAGAGTGGCCGCTGGGGCGGGGCGGGAGTGGGGGCGGGAAAGGGCCGAGCCGGGACGGAAGGCATGGAGGCTCCCGGGTCCGTGGTCCCATGGGGTCCCAGCACTGGAGATGCTGTGGATGGAAGGAAAGGACCAGATGGAGTCAGAGAATCCGTAGCCGGGAGGGAGGACCCGGGCCCCCTCAGTCACCAGGGAGCAGAGCGGTGAATCTCGTCGCGTGAGGGACATCACAGAAAAGGTGCAGTTGGCAAGTCTCCCCGAGGGATTTCCATGCTCTGGCCTGCAGCAGAGAATTACCGCCCCCGCCCCTCCCCCCCAGACAGCCTGTCTGCCCAGAAGAGGCAGCCTGGCCCAGCACGGACTCTGAGAAGCTCCCACGGACCCCCAGACATGACCCTCCAGCCTCAGGGGCAGGCTCCCAAGATGTGGGCCTGGCTGGACACCTGCCCTGTGGGAAATGGCCTCAGCAGGCTCCCTGACAGCTGGGGACCCCCTCCAAGGTTCCTCCTCGGCACCCAAAGGGCCTCTGTGAACAGACAGCGTCTAAAGCTTCGGGCCCCTCTCCTGCTAGCCTTCCTGTTCCTGACGCTCCCTACGCATCCCTCCCTTGTCTTCCTGGCCCAACACAACGCAACAGGAACACTTGACCTCTATCTCTGCCAGGAAAGCTCCCTCCAAACCCTGACGGGAGCCCATCTCAGATCCATCCCCCCACACACAGGACACAGGGCCAGGGTCTGCCTGCATGCAGCGGCTCTGCTCCCGGGACAGGGGTCTGGGGCGCAGGTGTGTGCTCCCCGAGTTTCTGTCACTCACAGCTAGCGATGGCTGTAGGACAGTAGCCCAGAGCCATGGGTGGGGAGCCCCGGGGCCGCCAGGGGCAGTTTCCAGAGCTGCTGTCCCTTGGGAATGTTCGTGGGAGTGCAGACCGCCTGTGGACCTCCCCTTGCAGCTCCCTCCGTGGAACGTGAGGATGACTAGGAACCAAGCGGGAGGCCAGTGCCGGCCGAACAAGGTGTCTGGAAACAGGTGTCTGCTCGTGAGGAACCCATGCAGCTCCTAGTCCAGGAGGACAAGGTACACACCCGTGCACCTAACATAAGGACAGGTGTCCTCGGATGTTTAGTAGAAACACAGACGGTCATCGTCCCCTTCCAGGCTCCTCCCCTATCCCTCTTTAAAGAGGACTCAGGCTTCAGGGATGCTCCACAGGATAACCGACCACACTGTACTTCTGTTCCCTGTCCAGGAGGCAGGGACGTGGATTCAAGCAGACTCGTCATCTCCCAGGTAAAACCCGGTGCTGAGGTCGCGCCAGGAAACAGGCCGAGAGGAAGCAGGTGTGCACTGCGTCTCCTCAAGAGGGAGAGTGACCCAGAGCAGCTGAGGAACCCAAGCCCTACCCTGAGGCCACCTGGTGCCCTGTCCCTGCTGAATCCAAGACCAGGGCTACCTGGCCTGGGGGCACGTCAGCGCTAGGCCGGCAGGACGGGAAGCCCTGGGCTGGGGTGTCAGACTGACCTCCAGCCCAGGTCTCGGAGAGGACCCGTCATTGCACACTTGGCCACAGAAGGCCTCACGGAACAACGTTCTGGCCAAGACCGCCTCTCCCCCTGCCCCTGCCTGTGCCACCAGCTTGACACACTCCCACCTCACCCTCCAAACTGTCCAAGTGATTCTTGGCCTCCAGAGAGAATCAGTGCTCCTGCCACCATCCTTTCTCCACACACAGGGCATTTCCCCTGCCAGGTCTTGACCCGCCTTCAAGGAGCCCTCCTCCCCAGGGTCCTTGCAGGTTTCTGCGGACTCCCAGCCTCCTAGTCCCCCAGGTGAGCTGTCCTCGGGTGTCCAGTGAGCTCCCCTTCCTGTACCGACCCCGCCTAAAGTGCCCCTAGCCAGTGTCACGTTTGAATCCCAAGGATTTCAGGAATGGCCGGCACTCTGACACGTCCAACCCCACCTACAGGCCTACCTCCTTCTGAAGCCATCCCCACGGGCAGGGGATGTGGCTGCCTGGCAGCCTCCACCGTGAGAAAAGTCACGTCCGGGACCCACACAGTGAGCTGCTCCAGGAGATGCTCAGGATCCAAGTCAAGGAGGGAGAAGTTTGAATCTAAACAGGGGTAGAATGCAGACTCATGACATTCTTCAACGGGGGAGGGGCGGAGGGCCACTGACCTGGGTGGGGGTGGGGAGACAGTCCACGAGTCAGGCTCTGGCAGGTAGGCCAGAACCCCAAGCTCCTTTCAAATGATACAGACAACACGATTGGGATGCGCCTTTCCAGGCCGTTTATACACTGTTTTCCAGATTCACAGCACCAAGGTGTGACTCGGTGCTCCTTTGGTTCGATTCTGTATCCAGCAACCTAGGTTTGCGTCCTCGACCCACTCTGCTTCCTATCTGGCTCTTGACTTATTCAACCGGGGCTGAGCTTTCTGGACAAAACTCAGAACAGATATTCTGACGAACACATGGGTCCTTAAGGCCACATGGAACTGAGGGTTTCAAATCAGCATTGTGTCAGCAGATCCTGTGCGTTTGGTTGCACATCAGTCTTCAGCCGTGGGTGCTTCTGTGCCCAGCGCCCTGCAGTGCTCGAAGTCGTGCAGACTCCAGCAGGACCGGCCTTACTAGGATGCCCTTTGCCGGAAAGCCCGTCTCTCAGAGAGAGGACGTGGAGCCTACCATCCGAGACCAGAAACACGACGTCTCCTTCCCTGGCATATGACGCTGTTGTTTGATATTGATTTTTAACCTCTTTCATTATTTCAGTAGACACTTTCAAAAAGCAATTCCTTTGTTCGGTTCAAAGTCAAACTGTATATAGTGGACTATGCAGTGACGCCTCTTCCTCCCGCCTCCGACCCCTGGCATCCCAGCCCCTTTCTCACAGGAAACCAGTGTTACCTGTGTCGTTCAGATCTTTAGAGATGTGCCGCAAAAAGTAAGTGTAAGCTATTTCTGTTTTTTGAAAAACGAAAGCATATTTCTCTCTGGTTAAAAGTTGATAGAGGTAGAGGGGGCGCCTGGGTGGCTCAGTTGGTTAAGCGACTGCCTTCGGCTCAGGTCATGATCCTGGAGTCCCGGGGTCGAGTCCCGCATCGGGCTCCCTGCTCGGCTGGGAGTCTGCTTCTCCCTCGGACCCTCTTCCTTCTTGTGCTGTTTCTCATTCTCTCTCTAATAAATAAATAAAATCTTAAAAAACCTGTTGATATAGGTTCCAAAATACGTGTGGCTATGCACAGTGGTTGTCTTTGTTCTGGTAATGTGGCTCCTGCCCTCATTCCTGGGGGCTAGATTCCTAGAAAAAGAAGTGCTACAGTCCTTTACAATTCAAGGGACCCTGTCCAGTAGGGTGGCCAGATTTAGCAAATAATAATAAGCACTCTATTGAACTAGAATTACAGATAAACAGGGAATCAGCTTTTACGATAATTGTGTCCCATGCCGTATTTGAGATATACTTTTAACTCAAATCTTTTTCCCCTCTATCTAATTTTGCATTTAGCTGGGATTTTGTATTTTATCTGGCATCTCTACCAAAAACGTGTAACATATTCAGTTCTTATTAGTCACTTACATGTGAGAAAGAGAACTTCGATACAGAGACTCAAGGGTGCTATCTTGGCTTCACCCCAAAACTCACTTGTGCACGCGCACACACACACACACACACACACACACAGACACACACAGTGTCTGCAGGCCCTCTGAATGATTTGGAATTTGGAAGAGCCGTCACATATCACTGAGTGTTTAGGCTTAGTGGAGGTAAGGACGGAAAGAAGGGACAGGAAATCTTCCCCTTTCTTACATTAAAGCGGCATACGACAGCCATGGATTTTCGAGGTGCTAAAATCACTACTCCATGAAATGGATGTGCTCCTTGAGACAAAGCCAGGAATGTGTCCACCGCTATCCATTCCTCACTCACAACCAGCTTCCTCTAAGTGCTAGCTGGCCAGTCTGAGCCTGGAAGCCCTGCTCATGGGCTTGCGAATAACAGACCTTGCTTCTTTGGAATCCAGGCTCACACTGCACGTGGGTGGTCCCATGTGCATGGGAATCATGGTAGCACCCCTTTAAAAATCTCTTGCTTCTTATTTTCATGTTGCACATCAGTGTCAGTTTATTGGGAACACGATGATATGAAGGAGCGTTGGTGTTTTCTGTGCGAGAAGGGAGGACTGTTAGGACGTGGGGAAGGGTGGTGAGGGGTGAGAACTTCAGAGGTTGCCACCCAATGCCTTGGGAGACAAGCCTCATTCCCGCGGTCATGACGGCAGGGTTCCTATGACAGCAGGGTGTTGGGGAAGGAAAGGGAGGTTCAGAGGGATGGCTCCACAACTGAACAAGACTCCTGGTTTGGGCGCGGAAACAGTTCCTCGCCCGCTGCAGAGGAAAGTTGACTCCAAAGGCCACTGTTGTGTGAAAACGTGTCAGGGGCATATGGAAGGGGAAGGGCATGGACTTCTCCCCCTCTCCCCACGCTATGGTGGTGTAAGAAAGTCACGTCTCGATTCCTGTCCAATTTCCTCATGATTTTAAGTGCTCTCCCAACTCACACCGTGACACGGTCCAGGGAATATTTACATGGAATACTTCCGGAGCGTCCCATCGGCCACCTGAAGGAGTGCGGCCCTTTGGGACACTTCCCAGGCCCTTCACCCCGTGCAGCCCTCACGTGGCCCTCCACACGTACCCCTCCGTCTAGTCTCTCTGGCAGCACCTCTACGCAGGCTTCCTTGACCTTACCTGGGGACATGAGCTGAGAGCATTTCGAGCAAATCACAGTGAACTTTATTTCAAAATCCCTGTTGGGGACTGAAAAAATAAACAACTTGGAGACATTTCTCAGGCCTTGAGCTTTTATCATGAGAAGCCTGAAATGATTTTCACCGCACAGCTTCCCACTAGAGAGATGCTGAGGCGCACTGTTGCACTCAGGCACTCGAGAAAGCAGGTTCCTTCTTGCTTCCTGCCCTGGTTCCGTCGTTCCATCAAGTATTCACAAGATTCTCACTCACGGCTCAGACGGAGGATCGGAATGAGCCTTCTCGGGGCCACTGATATAAAAATGGCACTGTGGAACAATACCTGGTCTCAATTCTGCAATCATTTCTGTACTACTTCAAAATCCTAGAGCCCAGAAGCAGATGGAACCAAAGTAGCCCAAACGCCATTTGGGAAGACCGGTCATAGAAGGCAGTACTAGAAATCCTTTGCACCCTGATCTCTGAGCATTCCTGTGGCGGCTGCTGAGATAGAAGCATCTCTGGATAGGGTCCACAGGTCTGAGAAAGCGATGACCTTCCACCCAATCACAGAACATCGGCAGAAGGGGAGGAGGCAGGCGCGTGTGCTGGAGAGTCTTCTTTCTGCGCGCCCGCAGGTGTGCCGGGGGAGGTTTCCGAGGTGCGCTGTGGCGAGAACCGGCGCCAATCTGGCCACGGACCGGAAAGAGATGGGATGATTGAAGCTTCTCCCCCAAATATTACAAAGTCAGGGCAATCAGTTGAATCCCTTTTTCATGCCCACTGCAATCCTTCGGTATTCCAAAAGAGGAGGGAGGGGAGAGCAAAATTGCTGCCATATCGCCTGCTGGGTCACCTGAAATTGGCGCGTGCGGACCCAAGGTGTTAAGACAAGCCTTGCAAGGAAAGAAAGCGCTGTGGACGCGCATTCGTTGAAGGGCTCCACCAAGAAGCCTATTGTGCAGAGGCCGTGCCTCGGGAAAAGTCTGGGGATGGAGTCGGGGAGGATCCCTTCCAGGGTTCCCCGGGTCTGAATCCTCCACCAGAACTGTGCCTCCATGGAACCTTCGGGCTCAGGGGCTCAGGCGGGCGCAGC